AGGTTATTTATTGGAAGAGGCTTCTTTGGAGAACCTGTCCAGCTCCAGAAAAGCCCTAAAGAGAGAGGCATTGGTGTTCCCAAGAAATGGCCCCCTTGTGTCACCATATAGGAAGCCCAGTGATGAGTCACTGTAACAGTGCTGCCAAAGTGCCTGTTGGTCCTCGCTTACAACAGGGATTACCAGGCATCTGGGGACAGCCTCTAGCATAGAATATGGGGATCGAAGCAAACAAAAAAGCGACTAGCAAGCAACACGGACTACACAGGGAGAAGACAACTTCCCTTATATTGCTACATAAGATGGACAATGATGACGGTGTGTGGATATCCCTGATGGCAGTTTTAAAAACAAGAAAAGGATTTTTCTAACACGAATAGTTACACTGAAGAGTTTTTCCCCTCAGCCATGGTTTTCTGATCCCCAAAGAGTGCATTGCAGGAGAAAGACACCAGCTGGAGAAGGGTTCTCACCTCTCAGTAGACACACATGTACCTGCTGAGGGCAGCTCTGAAACTCCCCGTGGGTCAGGAAATGGTGACAACCTCGCTGTGGGTGAGGCATAAACGGGAGACAAACTTTTCACCCAAAATCCTTTCTTTGAACTTTGGAATACCTATTGAGAAAACTAAGTAAATTGTATTTCCTAAAGAAGAATGATAAATCTACTCCCACTTTGACCCAGCAAGTCTACTTCAGAGACCTGCAGATGTGTAAAAGGCAGTATATGCAGGGTCATTTGATGCAACGTTGCTGTGCGGCAGCAGAGAACCAGGAAGACCCTGGGTGGCCACAACCACTGGCGACACAAGGGGTGCAGAGCCAGCCTGAGCACTTGAAGCCATCAGAGGGCCTTAAGCAGCTCGCGGAGTGCCAGGGCCTGGTGTCTGCCAAGAGAGGAAGGCGGTGTGCAGAGAAGAGTGTTCACTCTGCCGCCATTCGTGTGAAGAGGGACACACTCGCAGGTCAGAGGGCCTTAAGCAGCTCGCGGAGTGCCAGGGCCTGGTGTCTGCCAAGAGAGGAAGGCGTTGTGCAGAGAAGAGTGTTCACTCTGCCGCCATTCGTGTGAAGAGGGACACACTCGCAGACAAACCCACGTACTTTTGAATTTGCCTAAAATGACTGGAAGGTTCAGAAGTTGACAATTATTGGTTGTCTCTGGGGAGGAGGGGATCTTCATGGGCTGAGCCTAAGGTGAGGAAAGAGATTTTAAATATTAAACCGTGGGAATCTTAGACCTACTCAATGTATGAATAAGTGGTGTACAAGAGATACCTATATTTTTGTCAAGAGGGCAAAATTTTTAATGGGCAGACATGACCTGTGGATTTTATTTACATATATGAACATATATATATTTGTATTAGTAAATGGGACTGCATTCTCAGAGCACTTCTTAAGAAACAACGCTGGGCTGTCATCTGTCCTTGCTCACACTGGCGAGTACTGAGGGCCCTGGTGTGGAGGGTAACAGTGTTGACTTCTGTGTGCCTCCGGGATCTGCGCCCTCGTGCTTGCTTCTCTGTCTGTGTGTGACTGCACCTAGTGACTTGCTCTTAATGCTTAGAATGACAGGACTGACTTCCATCTTGCTGGCACACTCCTTGCTGCGTCAGGGATCCCCAGGACCACCCATAG